ATAAGACGGCATCAGTGAGACAGCTCCGTTTCGGCTTTCACTGCTCCGTGTCATAATCAGCGATTACTCCGCAAATAACACAGCACTAAACAGGCGGTCCGATTAGAAGACGATAGTAGACACGCTAATGGTGTCGACTGCAAGGCTGAACCGATCTTCCACCGAATCTATCTATTACCAATCAGCCACTGGATGTGGTGCATCGGTTCACTAGCCTTGGTAGCTGGGTCACCTCTGATGTCCACATCACTGAGGGGGTCAATTCTTGTACCAGCATGGATCTTGTGGCTTTCCATAGGCTCAACCATCTATAGAGAAATGAAAAGAAAACACAACAGGTGCACGAAAGCCAAGTTACCAGTAACAGATGGGCATCGTCCCGGAAAGCTATCAGCCGACTACTATGCAGCAAAAAATTTTGTTATGCAATATTTGGGTGATGCAAAAAAATGAGATCGCGGTTGTAGGGGGAGGCTAAGAGGGATGGGGAGGGACAAAGTAACTAACAATGCAAACGCCACTGAGGACGGCTCCTAGCCACGTCAATTACTATATTCAGCCAAACGTGTTCATCGTCCTCCGGACCCCAGCCCGGTACCCGAGATGCACCAACCGACGCCACTTTCGAAGTGAGGGTTTTCATTCCTCTCGACCAAGTCACCTCCTATCCTTCCATCCACACCCCCGGCGAGCAAACAACACACGACGTGGGAGGCGGTGTGCTGGCATGCGCAACACGTTGCTCAGCTATCGGGACTTGGTGTGTGATATAATGGTACCGGGTGGTTCACTCGCTGTTCCAGCACCAAATGCATGACGCCGAACAAGTTCATTGCTCACGCGGTGCTCCCACCAGGTGTGAACAAAGCTGCGAAGGAAGCGATGGTCGAACCTAGCTACGAACTTTGTCTGTCGACCTGATGGACCAGGTTTCACAACGACATAGGAGAGTTGAACGGACGGCTACACCGTAAACTGCCATTCAGAGCGAGTGTGGTGTCACATCGACGCAATACGTGGTGGAAGTTGGCACCTCGAGCTTTCGTTTTACGGTTCGTGATCTCATCATCAATCCCATGAGCGCTAATGTTGCTGCCCAGGTACTAAAATTTCCGAACGATTTCTAGCTGATCCCCACCAAGGGTCAGCACAGGAGTGGGTCCCTGCCAATCTTTGCGAAGGACTTTGCATTTCGAGGGTGCAAAGCATAGCCCAAAAGGATAGACAGCCAGTGTTAAACTGCCCAGCGCTGCTTGGCACGCCTGGGAACTGTCACAGATACACATGTCGTCAGCATATTCCAAGTCAAGAACTCGATCACTACTAAGCAGATCCACACCTTGTAAGTCGTGTCCAGCGAACGCTGTTTCGATGGCTTCATCAATGGCGAAGTGAAAGAGGAAAGGTGACAACGGGCAACCTTGTCTCACATCGATTGAGATATTGAAGGGCGACGACAGTTTGCCATACACCCTCACTCTGCCAGAACCATGCGCTTACAACATCCGGATACTATTTAACATAAGGGGCAGATCACATCGCCGACAGCAACCACGATTAACCTTGACAGTTCCCTGGCTTAAGGGAATGAGCGTAAACCGGAACGAAACGATGCATTCAGTTGAAGTTCCTACAGGTCAGGAAAAGTGACACAGCAGCCGACGCCGCATGCTGTCGACTTATAATCACCGAAAACGCGGTGCGCAGACTTCATGGTTGGGACCCAACTCCGATAACCACAGAAGAATTAAAGTTTGCATAGTTAGTAAACATAACAAAAATCAACTTCCCGGTTGTGTGAAGTCCCGACGGGTGTGACCTTTTGGGAAGCACTGCATAAATGCGGATGTTGACAAATACAGTGTCAAAAGGAAATTGCGAAGAGATTTCTTTTCGATAAATCTCTTCAGGCAATTACAATTATGAGCTTCATAATCATTTGTGCAGTAGCTATTACTAGCGATGCGACACAAAGTCGTGAATGCTGCGATCGGATGAACGGTGGCAATCTATGTCTATTTGAACCCACTACCATTGACCATTATGCCAGAAGTCAGGTGACCATGCTAGGGCCACGGTAGGGTTTGATACTGCATAAGTGCAAGCTGTTTACACAGTTTCGCCTTCAGTTGCTTGATCGCAATTGCTTCCGCTGTGGCCAGTAGGCGCTTCTTGAGTCCTTTTGTGCAGCGTTTTGCTGCTGCACACACTATTTTGAATGCCTCTTTAGTTTGTGTGTTATGTCCACTACCTACTAGGTGTTCTAGGATAGAGCTGTGGACATTTCTGGTGGAACCACGCTGCGACAAGGAAGGGCAGTGTTCCGCTATCTGCTCTGACAGATGTCTGGTCGTGTGTCCAAGGTATCTCGCACCACAGGTGCAAGTGAACTGGTATAGGACATAGAATTCGGACTGCGCCGGAATTCGGTCTTTTAGGCGGTTGGTGATCGGAACGGTTTCGGCGTGAATACGGACACTGGCGGCCGGGTACGTTTGGTTTAGCGCGGAAGTCAATGTCCTACTCGAGAGTTCGAACTGTATGTCTCCTTTGAAAGGCACTGAGAGGAAAATATCTTTTCTTCTCACGGTCATTTTCGGCTCAGACTCAGTCCGGAGCTGAGAATGCTTTTTGATGAAAGCAGTTGGGTACGCGTTGCTTTCCAATGTCTTGAGTATGAAATTCTTTTCCGCTTCCAGTGTCTCAGGGTTGCAAATCCTTGTAGCCCGATAATACAGACAACGTACCAAGTTTCGTTTGTACTTTATCGGTACGAAACTGTGGAAGTGGGTGTACTGACTTACCCAGATTGACTTGGGGAAAACCTTTCAAGCGATCCGTCCTCTCGTCATCGCAGTAAAACATCCAAAAAGGCAGCTTACTGTCCGCTTCAATCTCGCAAGTGAATTTCAACGCTGGATGCGCATTGTTAAATTGATTCAACAGGTGAACATGATCAGTATGTGTCGCAAACAATAAACGTATTAGCCATGTATCGTTTGTAAGAATCAAAGGAAACGATTAGGTGTCTGATAGGTTCGCGATCAATTTTTGCGAGAAAAATGTCTGCAAGCAGCTGTCTTAGGGGCGATCCCATTGCAACTCCGTCTATATGCCTACAGTATTTTCCAGCAAACAGAAACTGTCTGTTGAACGTGTAACATAAAATCAGCGCTTTCACCTTACGATCCGGGATCGGAAGAACAACGTTATTTTCTGTTAAGTATTTACAGATGAAATTGACCGTTTCTAACAATGGAACGTTCGTAAACAGATTCTACATCAAAGGAGAGCATCAATTTTTCTTTCACGTTTAAGTTTTCTACCTGATGGACGAATGCAAATGTGTCGCTACCGGTGTGACCAGACAATTCTTCATGTACTAGTTTGAAAAGTTCCACAAGCCACACAGTGTGTAGCAAACCCAGACATATCAATTATTTATCGTAGTGGAGTGTTAGGTTTGTGGACCTTTGGCACACCGTAGAGGCGAGGTGGGTGCGAGCCACAAAGTGTTAATCGCTCAAGTACGGAGCTATCGATGCAGTTACAGCGTTTCAGTTGTTTCAATGAGTTGGTTATTTTGATCTCGTGCTGTGCTGTCCTTTTGTACTGAATCAAGAACGAATTTGCTGGGATCCTGCAAGATCGTGTGCATTTTGGACATGTAATCACACTTCTCCATTATTATCCAACCTGATCCCTTATCTGGCCTTGAGAATATGATCTCTGGATTGGATGTCAACATTTTTATCGCTTCTTGGTGTGCACCGGTGATTAATTTTGAGGTTGGTACTCTGCTGTTCCAATATCTCTGTGATAGATGCACAAAAGTGGTTTTAAAATAGTCAGGAGTGGAATCATACCCCAATTTCAACAGATGGTGTGGCTTTCTTCGTACAATATTGGCATAAACAAGCATAAATTTTCGCGTGCCGGATCGAGAAGAGGATAAGTAAAAAGGACGGAATAAAAGAAGAGAGGAGCCGACAGTGGGTACTCTCTGGGCGACTACAAGAGAATACAAAAACTCGAATAAAAAAGGATTGTCAGTAAAATCGGTTCGGCTGATAATACTCCAACCAAGATAGTTACCGACCACTCCGGTGAGTGCTCGAGTCGATAAGGACGCCCCGAAGACAAACGAACACAGAAGCACTGGTTTGACACTAAGAAAGAGGATTAGGTGAGTAGACAAAATTGTCCAGAATCACGAACGCACCTGTGCGCGACTAAATGCAGAAGACGAGGTACAGAATGAACTCAGGAACGATACAATCGCGGATTGTGGAAAATGAAAGACGTCGAGAAAGGTGCCTGCTGCGTAAAGTGAAGTCCAGCAACAGAGGAAAAGTGTGAAGGTATTAGAACCAAAGAGTGAGCATTTAGGATGTGAAATGCAACATCAAAATGAGAGTTGGCATCCATGTCGTTTAGTTAGGATTGCGTAGGGCAATCAAGTTCATGCAAAACATGTGCAACCCAAAACAGCGCAAAACCGGTATGGAGTGTTTTCTGGAAAATGATCAAGGATTAAAGTGAAAATTCATTGTGAAGGTAACTTAGTTGCAGCGCCCCTATTGAATTATACACGAAGCTCGATGACAATGGAAAGAAGAATCCGATTATGCCAATTCGACAATGAGTTCGACGGAGAACCATACGCCTTTTTCATGCATAAAGAGTCACGTGTTGTGATATTAAAAATACTGTGTTCGACAATGCCTTAAGAACGTGCAGCTGAAACAAATAGACAAATAACGGTCAATCGGTTGGTGATGGATGAAATGATGCATCTCATACAGAGCCTGTGTGCCTTACCAGAATCGTTATTCAGGGATGACGTGAGAATAGTTCGAAAAACTCAAGTAAAAATGTGCATGATGGTGGTGATGAAGGGATGTTAACAAGAAGAACCGAAATAGCATAAATCGGGTGTCATTATGGAGCACACACAAGGCAGTGGAGATTAAAGAGGAAAAGCGAGTGGGTTTTCGTACCGATTGAACCGGACTCGTTGTCGTACCAGGCGCAGGCATCGGTGGGACAGGGGGTGGTCCTGTGGGCGCTGATTTGGATACTTCTGTCTGGGCATTCTCGTTCCACACGAGTCCAGTCCTAAAGTGTTTGCAGATGTAAGTCTGAAGATTGGTCCATATCAACATGAGCGCTTTCGTCCAAGCAATGTGATCCGGATTTCTGTAAGTGATTGGATAAACAGTGGAAAATCGGATTGGGAAACATGCAGTCCTCTGGTACTTGAGTGTGCAGACAAAATGCTCAAAACAAACGACACAGATGATCAGGAGTTGCTTACAAGTAAGCATACAGCATCCGTCGGAGTGATCACAAGGCATTTCAATGTTCCACGCTAAATCAAAAAATACCACGAAAGCGAACGGATGAGCCTGCACTAAGCTTAGTCAACCGACAATTCGCTTTGTGCTGACATGCCTAGGATCACATCAAGTTTAGTAGATAAGAGGTCCGGAAACTAACCACCCAGAAACTGTTTTATCTGAGTCAACAAGAAGTGTAACCATGAATGAATAAAATCAGCCGATATTGACAGTAGAAAGAAATTGGTGAGCAACAGAGTTTACAAAAGGAGCAAAAAACTTACGAACCATGCACTAACCAGAATATGACGCATAGGTACGCCAAACAATCACCGAAAACAATTTCACAACCACGTGGGTTTCACATGGGAGGATAGTGAAGAAACAAAGATGAAAGCAATCTACTCAGCTGGAGATAATTCTGAACAAGTCCACGTGGAAGATACTACAGTGGTCACAACAAAGTGATGGATAGGTCCACAGGATAACTGGCGATAGCTCAGATGCCCGAGATGGATGATTCATTGCATAGTGAAACGAAGTGTAAATCGGTGGCTGTTCGGGATAACTTAGTAACGAAAGCCGTGGCAAACCCAACAGGAAGATGGTGTGTGACAGTATGCTTGCTTGTACGATCTATTGTGATACAGTCGTTGCTAGTTTTGGACATAACGCGCAACACTCCTACCAGATTGGCCAATGGCTGAAGCCAGATCAGTCGTATTCGTGCCGATAGTTGAAAATGGAATGTCGCTCATTTCTGTGGAAGCTTTCCACTGTGTAGACCGTTGCGCTACTCCGGCAGTCTTCCGGCTTGGTGTTGGCCGTAAAGCTGGAACTGGAACGCTAATCATACACTTGCCTTGTGTTAGATGTTCTGGCGTCATTCCAACCCAGTGGACCACTCTTCAGCCACAGCCAACACCGGCAGCCGTGCATTTGCAAAAAGTTGCTTTACACGCAGTGGCAGAGAGAAATAAAAACGAACTTTGCTAATACCCCCCGGACTTAAATATGCAGCCATCTTCGTATACCCACTTTTGCTTTCCATTGCATACTCGTATGCCACATCCACCAGAATAAGTCGCGATAGCGGCTATACCACTGGAGCCCTGCCGCTTCACTAGAGTACCCTCAAAACTGCAATGTCACGCCATGCAAGCCAGTTTCGCCGGCGGCATTTAACACTTATGCCCTAAGGCAGTCCGGTAAATAGAATGCAGAGGTACACACTCTGGATACGCATGATGCTAACTATCACCGTTCCTCATAAACGAGAATTCACGATTAGTATATGGTGATCGAAGCAGCTGTGTCTATCATATTCCCCCTGCCAATGCTTGTGCGTTTCCGGAGTTGCCGACACGGTCAGCCTAAGTGAAGATGCAGTTCACAGCACAAGAGCTAGGTTTAATTTCACATTGGTTCGCTTAACATGGGTCATATAGGCCAACAGGTAGCACTAATTCTCGCTCTGTTAGTACTGCTGTGTGCTGTGCCTCAAAAACACGCACACAGGGTAAATCTCTGGTCCCACGTCTTCGACTTTTTGCATCTCTGCCGATACTGAGACAATGACTCAAGGTATTTGCGGGGTCGGTATCACAGCAAACGTGATGAATACGATCCATACAAGTGGATACAAGGGAACAGTCGCAGGTGGGCGATCCGACCTCGAAACTCTACTGGGCCTAATAGGCACCGTCTGAAGACAAAATGAGTTTTCATCGCCTCCGTTTATGCCCTTACGGTCTGCAGTTAGATGGTATAAAAGACGATTTCTATTCTCAACTCACATTTCTTAGGCGCATGGCGAAGAGTACTGGTAACGTGTTCCTTGCTGGTAAGATGAATGTCTAAGTGGGTGGTCTTTCAAAACTGAACATATGGTAGACCGCTTCGGAGTGGTTGTAAGCGGAACAGATATTGATGAGCAACTTTTGCAACCATACGCTGAGCACATTTTTTACGTGAGCAACACTGCTTTTCAACACACATACATATTGTGTCACTTGAGGCCTTCCACATTTCTCGATAAGCTGCTTCCAAATTGACCGTATTGTTATCAGCTACCGAGTGTGCACATTGTTTCGAGAGTATCGATCAATTTGGAGCACTGGGTTGTATCTGACCATACTAGTGTGTGCGCGTCTAGCGCTCACTCATGCAGCTTTGAGGAAGCGGCAAACATTTTTCAAGTCAAGAAAGTGCTTTGTACATCCAGAACGGATGAATATTCAGCCGTAGCACACAATCTTCCAGCAATGCATCAGGATATAAATGCAATTCAAAGGATGTGCATTAATAAATGTGAAGACAATACCACCATAGGATAATCAGACTTGTTACCTTTCGGGCAACTTTGTTTTGGTCTAGCAAAAATAGCGCTGACGAACGGTACGCTCGTTTACGGTTATATATGAATTTCTACTTGTCTGGTTGACGAAGTTGCCACACATTCAGACAAAACACAATGGAGGGGTTGACTTGTGTCGGCGAACCTGTTGATGTTAGTCACTTGCAAGAACTAACATGAGTGCATACAAGTATATCAACAAAAGTCAGCTTCGATACACCCCTACATAGTGACAAGTGTTTAAACGATCTGGAGATTAATTTAAAGTCCTTGTCGAATAGACCAGGGAAAATTACTGCTGAGCAGTACGTCCAGTGTGGAAGGACACAATCAGTGACAAAGCGCGAAGTATCAAATCATGGGAGACAGAGGAAGGCCGAAGGCGTGAGGTGTAAAACGATGACCTCCGGACTTTTGTGAACGTTTCTTTTATTTGGTGTGAACAAGATAAATCGTAGCTAAGCATGACATTCAAGTACTTTACCGATGTGGAAGAGTAGAACCGTGAATCAAGACTGAATAGCCGCACTGAAGATATTGCCTAGTTTGGTAACGGAACATTTGCAACAGAAATGCCCGGCTCGGAGAACAGGACAATCCTCTCAGAGTACAACCTCTCGCCATCGATGTTGATTTCCGGGCATTGCTGGAGAAGCCGTTGATATTGATCTCCTCTGTGCAGTGAAAATATAACAGCACTGCAGTTTGACACGATAGGCAGCAGCTCGCGGACCTTTACCAAAACGTTAGATCATTAAGGATTTCCGGCAATCGGACTGAAAGGACAGTGATCGATTGAGTGACGCCCAGGACAGTGTCATCTGGGTACTAAAGCAGGGTCACCTCCCCAGCGATTGGTATTGAGCCCACATAATTGGAAGAAATTGTGAGAGAGGTTTTCTGAAGAACACTGGTGTTGATGATCAGGAGCTTTTCCCGCAAAAACCGGCAACCTGAGAACGACCGATAAAATAATCCCTCAACACAATAACAGTGGATCGCTATAGCAAGTGCAGAAATCATAGTTCAGTTCCTCCAAATCTTCGTCGGTTGATGAAGTACAGTAATCCCGCTCAGTTGTTTTAACATCCTCCAGAGTTCACGGTAGCTACCATTCCCAAGTATAACCTGAACGTGCACGTTGTTGAGACGGCGCAACTCATCCTCTAGAAGGATAAAGAGAGTTGTCATTGCTTTTGAAAGCTTTCTGCTTTTGTCTACGCAGCCGCTTCAGGTGGGGGGAAGAGAACCTGTCCGCACGGCTGAATAGTTTCACAGACAGTAAAAGTCAAGAAAGAAGTTCGGGTAGCTTGTCATCTGATAGCAACACGTGGATTTATCACATGAAAGAACTAAACTCAGAGTCCGCAGTTCAACAATACCATGAAGCGTTGGGTCACAAATGAGGTTAGGGAACCGAATACTGACTGGAATCCACTCAACTGTAAAATGAGCAACGCTTTTGACGTCTACCGTAAGGTCAACTTGAGCCGTCCTAACTGTGAATAGACACATCAAATATCGACCAGCTTGAACGAAACACATGAATAGGTTCCGTTTAGTGCCGAGTGGCAGAATGACCGTAATTCCCTGAAGCAACGATTGACAAGAGTCTTAAAATCGACCAGGAAGTTTGGTGGTTACATGGGCCTGCGAAATGCAGAAAGCCAGTACGGTTGAGCACAACCGAGTGCTATTAAAGCTCATTTGGAACATGGGTACAGAAAATCTCTTATTTAATGAGACAATCGTTGAAACATGGACAGCCGATCCATTCGCGCCGATTAGACCGTTGCTCATTTTACAGTTGAGTGGATTCCAGTCAGTATTCGGTTCCCTAACCTCATTTGTGACCCAACGCTTCATGGTATTGTTGAACTGCGGACTCTGAGTTTAGTTCTTTCATGTGATAAATCCACGTGTTGCTATCAGATGACAAGCTACCCGAACTTCTTTCTTGACTTTTACTGTCTGTGAAACTATTCAGCCGTGCGGACAGGTTCTCTTCCCCCCACCTGAAGCGGCTGCGTAGACAAAAGAAGGCTTTCAAAAGGAATGACAGCTTTCTTTATCCTTCTAGAGGATGAGTTGCGCCGTCTCAACAACGTGCACGTTCAGGTTATACTTGGGAATGGTAGCTACCGTGAACTCTGGAGGATGTTAAAACAACTGAGCGGGATTACTGTACTTCATCAACCGACGAAGATTTGGAGGAACTGAACTATGATTTCTGCACTTGCTATAGCAATCCGATCTCTGATTCTTCTAGTTGCTCGGCCTACATTTTCTGCAGTCTCCAGTCAACAACGGCATTGCACACAAGTTGCCCTAAGAGTTTCGCTCAGGGAAAGCAACTGGTCCGGACAGGCTATCTCCCGATGTCCTCAAGGAATGCGCTGACTTCTTAGCCGAATCTTAGATTAGAAATATTTGAGTGTTGCTCTTCCCAACACTGGCACACCACGACCGCGGTTTCGTCCTGGTTTGGACTCGTCAGGTGGAGA